ACAGAGAGGCTGCCTGTCACTGTGAACGAGAGTTGAGATCTCCTCCTCATTGGTCAGTCCTCATGAGGCGGGTCAGGTGACTGAGAGGGTTGTATAATGGCAAGTGTTGCTTTTGTGTAAATGGAGGACACTTCCCTGATCTCAGTGTAGTGGTTCATGTTTACCAGATTATACTGATGTGTTTTGTTTTCATAGCATCATGTGAAGGAGTGTCATTGACAAGATGACAGTGTAGTGTATTTGTAGTTCTATAGCATTTGTACATCAAAATACACTTAGAATTTGAGGTATTGAGTATATTTAMYATACATTGCAATAATTTACCCTGTATTTACCAGACTATGGTAATCCTGGGGTCGTRATGATGGGGCCCTTGAATATTGTTGCCCAGGGTACAGCGAAGTGTTAATCCGGCCCTGCCCACAACACGCGCACCAAAGTGACCCCTTCTTCAACAGTCTTATAATCGCTAATAACAACAGAAAGTGTAATAAACTACAACAATAAACTCTTTAATTTCGCACAGAAACAGCTTCACTCACCATTTCTTGGTGCACTCCAACACAAGCTCCTGATACGAAGCGACGAATTGAAACTTTGAAGCCTTTTTGCCAACTCGCTGCAGTCTTTTCCACACCGACGTCATGACTTCTGCTGCTGAACTTCACGTGCAGAAGAATGAAATAAATAAACGAACGAGTCCGACTTTTCTGCTCCTTATAAGGTTTTCCTCCTCTTCCTCTGCCGTCGCTGCTGCTGCTGCTGCTGATGAGACACAAGCTGCGACTTGCGCTCATTTGCAATTTACTGGAAGCAGTGAAGAAAACATCACGCACTAAAAAAAATGAAACAGTTCCGAACCTGTACTTCCTCCTGGACAGTAAACAGCGGCTCGGTGAGAAGCTGAAGCTTCAGCAGCCCCTGGCTGGACTCCACATGGAAACAGCAGCTCTTACTCAACTCTGAGTTGTTGTAACTCTGATCTGCTTCCTCTTCAGTCAGCCCTGCCTCTTTCCTTCACTGACAGACAGGCAGGCAGGCAGACAGACAGACAGACAGACAGACAGACAGACAGACAGACAGACAGACAGACAGACAGACAGACAGACAGAGGATATGCAAAGACAGACTGATGCAAAGTGTTTTCTCTGCCTGCACTGTGGCAGTCCCAGCTGCAGACTTTGATCCTGACTGCATCACTGGAACAACCTTATCAAGCTGTTTGACTTAATTATCAATTGAGTCAGCACATTGTTTTACTGTTTTCTTTTATTATTTACAAGTTGTTTTCTAGTTTTCTGAACACTTTGTGCTTGTAGCTCTTGTTCAACATATTTAACTTTATTGTTTTTACTGTTCAGTTCTTTCAAAACCACTGTTCTTTTTGAAAAACTGCTTCATTTTGTTCTTTTTACCATTAGCATTATCACACTTTTACCATTTTATACTTTTGGGTTTTAGCTTCAGCTGCTACTTTAAACTTGAATTCACTTAATTTTGAATTTAGTCTTTTTTTTTCTTCTTAGTTTTCACTCTGAACAAGCCTTCTGCCAATTTTAGCTATTGCATTCATTTTTAGCTTTCAGCTGGTCTTTTGCCACATTTAGCTTTAATAGCCTATAATAGCCTACCTTTTAGTTATTGGCGTTCAACAAGCATTTTGCTTATCACTTTTATGTTTTAGCTAGCATTTAGCTATTTTTAGCTTTTAGTCAGGACTTTGCTATTTTTAGCTTTTAGTCAGGACTTTGCTATTTTTAGC